CGTATCTCGAAAAATTCGTAAGGAGGGGCGTTCGTAACTAGAGGTACCACTGTACTTTTAACTTAACTTGGTTTTAGATTTTAATTCTTGTATCTTCTGCTTTCATTTAGCTGTCTAGAAAATTAGGATGTGAGTTAGATAAGGTCTACATTTCCCTCACCCCCCGTTTGAAGTTGAACTGTCTCAGTTGCCATTTGATGATCATTTTCTCTGTTTGCAAAGTCCCTCTGAAGGGGAGATGGTTGTACAGAAGCCTGCAGAGGAACCCATGGGTCTGCTTTCCGGCCTCCAACTGCCAGTGGTACTTTCAGCCAGACGTCCTTTGTGGCCTTGGGTCTAGTTTGTCAGTGGAGGTGACTTTTTGACGGTGCTAGATTTTTCACCTCACTTTGAAATTGGTCCCCTGACAATCTTTTTGCCCCCCGTGTCCAGTCCCACAGAACAGCGAGAAGCTTCAAGAGAGTCCATGTGTGTTTGCCCTGACGCCACGACAAGTCGAGCTGATCAGAAATTCCAGGTATTCTCCTTGTTTCCTTGCAACTCCTAGGCCAAATAGGAGACTTCTGAGAGTGATGAATGCAAAAAAAAAAAAAATCTGAACAAAGCCTTTGAGCGTCTTGTGGGAGACTGGTGAATCAAACAACAGAAAGTCAATCTTGTTTTTAAAAATGTCATCTTTGCTACAGGCTAAATGCACCTCTCTCCACCTCAGTATTGCTCAATAAGGAAATGGGAACATTCATGGTTTCCCTTTGAATGGGCTTTGTGCACCTCTGCTGTGCCAGTGTCCCTCAGCAATAATAAGTGAAATGTACATTTCTCCATTGAGTGTGTGGGTTGTGAGTTGCAGGAAACTCTATCCTCTCCCACCCTCCCACTGTTTTGCATTTGGCTGTGGCTGATGGACCTTGGAGTTCTAGTAACAACAACAACAGAAATAGTCTGTGTAGATACCACAGGGCAGTCTCTCCCGATCAAGGGGCTTTGGGTCTCCCTTGGCTTTCCCTGTTGGTCAGCCTACATTTTGTCTTGTGAACTGCTTTGGGGCAAGCTCAGTTCTTTGCCCAAACATGTTCAAGTTAATTGTGCAGCCTCCAAATTACAGGGCTTTGGGCGATGGGTCATCTCTCCTTGGGAGGGGAAGTTCCCTAATCTGGGAATGAGGGAGCAATCTTGAAAAGTTGTCAGCTTGAGAGAACCCAAGTCAAAGCTGCTTGGGTTACTTTTTTTTTTCTGCTGCCTAAATTGCATGTGGGTTTTTTCCTAATCTGGCAGGGAATTGCAGCCGGGCGTGAGATCAGTCCAGGTTGTCCTCAGGTAAGTCTGAATGCTGTGGTGCTAATTAACCCTCTTCCCCAGAGACAAGGATGGGGTGGAGGGAAGGGAAGGGATGAAAACAAGGTGGTGATGCGGGATAAGATTCCCTGCAAACAACCTAAAAAGCTTTGCAGAAGGTGTGGGGGGGGGGGTGTCATTAAAATAGTTTGCCCTTGGAATTGAATGAATTTGGAAGGATTCCTGACAGCTTTTGGGGGACAGGGAGAGTTGCTGGCAATCCTGACTTGCAATTTAGTCAAAGTTCTGAAGTTCTGAGGGAATACAGGAATGAGCTGGAGTGTAGATTTGATCGTTCTGCCTGTGTGAATTCCTTGATATAAAAATCAGTTTTTATCACACTGCCTCCAGCCACACGCCAGCACGCCCAAGAAAGGGAATGCAAGTGCTGATTCTCATTAAATTTGCTCTGTTCCTCCTTATCTGAATTGGTGAGGAGGAAGAGGAAGAGTGAGGCACTCCTTACTTTCTCCCAGAAGCCAACTTTGGTTTGGAAGAACTGAAAACAAAACCAGGCCTCACAGCAGCAGGCTAGGCCTGGTCTTTTGCTCAAGGCTGTGGCCAGCACGATCAGTGACAGAGTAGACGGTGGGGTGAGCCTTACTGTTCCTCCCTCTTCTGCATCTCCGAGTTGATGATCCTTAACTCTAGCCCAATCTGGCTCTAGGGATAATTATGTTGCCCTCAGTCTAACTTTGAGATCAGTTCAGTCCCCTTCTCCATAGAGGGTTCAGCAAATAGGAGAAGCCATGTTTCTCTGAGTCTGGGGTCCTTGCCCAGAGATTCTAGCTTGCAAGCTCTGAAGGTCCTGTCAGGCACTGCAGCAAATACTGTGAGTGCAGGAGGGCTGGTTGATGGTAATGGGCCCAACAGTTGGTCAGCAAATGGAAGAGTTGGCAGCCTGGTGCACCTTGAAGACCGGACCTCCAGGAGATCAGGCCAGCTGGTGCTTGCTCTCTCGATCTCGATTCCTGACCTGTGCTTCCTTTCTCAGAATCTGCTACACAGATACCAGCTGCCCTCAGGAAGACCAGTATCCCCCAAATATCGCTGTCAAAGTAAACCACAGTTACTGTTCTGTTCCGGTAAGTCATTCCAATTTCCCAGGTCTGGGCAGTCCCCCTCTCGCCCCCAGCAGAATTATCAGGGAAGCTCTTTGTGATCTGTGCTTAGCTTCTCAAGGCAGCCAGACCTGTCTTCACTTGCACAGCCTGCTCCTTGGACCCACAGGGCCTGGCCTCAGCACTGTATTGTGAGTGGGATGGGGGCCTCTGTCACCAGGGGTTTCCCTTCTGCTGGCATCTGACGTCAGTCATCTGGTCTAGGAGTCGTGGCTGCTGCCTCGTTCTCAGGAAAATGCCGGGTTCCCCATCCTACCGACTGAAAGCTGACTCTTTAACGTTCCTTCTGGCCGCCTGCCGAAAGCCCTTTCTCTCTCTTTCCAGGGCTATTACCCTTCCAACAAGCCCGGGGTGGAGCCAAAAAGGCCTTGTCGTCCCATCAACCTGACTCACCTCATGTACCTGTCTTCCGCCACCAACCGCATCACCGTCATCTGGGGCAATTACGGGAAGGTGAGGATCATGCGGGTGGGATTTCTCTTGGTTTTCGCCTGCTTCCTGCACCAGCAGGCCTCACCTGGGTTTCAGGGGTTGGAGCAGCCGGCCTGGGGGGGACTCTCTTTTTCCAGATGTGTGACTCTGCATTGGACCTGGGAGAGGCGAACTCTGCTGGCTTTCTGCCATCTGCGATGATCATCTGGGCTTTGCAGCTCTTACAAGGGACTTCTGAGTGGCTTTTAGAAATATTTCTAATAAAATGGGTAAAGGCACCCCGTTAATTTACATCATGTTGCAAGGGTTTAAAAATAGCGCCAAACATGAGTGAGCCATTTTGCTGTACAGATGAGAAAGGGATCGCGCTGGGCTGGAAGTCAGTGTTTTTTCTCAAAGGAAGGACAAGGAGAGCAGCATTTCTGAATCAGGAAGAGGAGCAGTTCCAGCAAAAATTACTCTTTCCAATGATTGTTCTTTCTGGTGTGTTGTATGCTAAATGGCAATCAGTTTGCATGTTAAAATCCCATACATTTTTAACATCTTAATTTTTGTGAGCATATTACATTTAGGAAACTTGGAAATTGTAGCTTTGCGCAGAAGCCAATGGAACTTAGTGGCTCTGTCATGACATTGCTTATGGTTAGTCTGAGCAATTTTTATTGCACTCACGAATTCCATGATCCATCTTTTGTCTTCACAAAGCCTGCATTTGCTGCTGTTTGGTACATGCTGAACCCTTGATTTCATTGCATTTGTTTGTAATGATTGTTCTGGAGCTGCAGATGTTAATCCTTCCATTTCCTTTGTGATGGGGCCAGCTTGTAACTATTGCCAGTTCCTGGTTTCATCCACTTTATTTTCAATTTCTTTTAACTACTGGCTATTATTATTATTCATTAGATTTGTAAGGCTGCCACATCAAAAGACTCCAGGTGGCATACAGAGGTAAAAACATTCTAAGGATATCCAACCAAATACAGAAATGCTGGCACATTGGGGAAATACACAAACAAGAGAATCTAATAGAAGAGAATATATGTAGCTCAGGGTTGAACTGAACGAACTGGGCTCAGAGAACCCCAAGGACTCCACAGGAGAATCTGTCATGAGTAAGATCACAAATTGCCTTAGCCCCTAGCCTGTTTGAGAAGCTAAGTTTCCAAAGCTGTTCTAAAGGACAACAGGTTCGGGGCCAAACAAACCTTAGGGAGAGTAGTATGACGAGACATGGCTTGCAGGCTGACCCTCCACAAGGGGAGGGAGGTGGAGCTAGAGAGGCGCATTGGTGAGGGTGGGGGTCCATGTGCAGCCCTTCAATTTCATTTATTTATATATCACATTCATATAGCTGCCCATCTCACACAAAGCAACTCTAGGCGGCATGCAACAATTGAATAAAATAACAAATGGATTAAAAACAATCACTGTAAAAGATAAAGAGCGATGATTAAAATGCAAACATTATCCAAAATTTTAAAACTTTAAAATTTTAAAATATACAAACCCCACGGAGAGAACAGAATATCAATGACAGTGGAGCCATCTAAGAATGTCTCCGGTGCCCAAAGACCCCCCAGGCCTGATGACACAATTGGGCCTTGAGGGACTTCCTAAACAACAGCAGGGAAGGGGCGAGCCTCACTTCAGGGGGGAGAGTGTTCCACAAAGAGGGAGCCACGGCAGAGAAGGCCCATCTCCTGGGACCCACCCAATGCAAGTCCCTGGCCCATAGCATAGCATAGCATAGCATAGCATGCCTTCGCTGTGGGATCTAATGGGACGGGCTGATGTGACTGGGGAGAGGCGGTCCCTCAGGTAACCTGGCCCCATGCCATGAAGCCAATTAAAAGAGCCGTGCCTTTTTCCAGGTCCGCATGGCCATCTGGCCCCAGAAGGATCCCACTTGAGCCAAGGCAACGTTGAAGAGTAATCGCAAAGGTGCCCTGGCTTTGCTGTCCCCTGCCTGCACCTCCTCAACTCAAATGCATATTTCCTGAGACGGTGCATCTAGCATGAGAACCCAGAGAAAGGCGAGGCTTCTTTAAGGAGGGGCTGAGTGTGTTTTTTTAACGCTTTCCCCAAAGCACCTGTTCAGCTTCAGGTCTGAAGAGCTGCGCGCTGCAAATGAGGAGCCGCCTAATTGCGAGCAATGGGATGGGTAAACCAGGGGACATCGAGAGGTCCGGGGGAAGCACATCAGTGGCCCAAGGAGTTGGTTGGCAGGATGAAAGTAGAAGTGTGGGAGTGGAAACGTTAGACCTGCTCCCTGGCCACCTTTCAGTGTTCTGGTTTTAGTGAAGATGTATACATCTTTGAACCATCTAGATCA